TCTTTCTCTTTCTCTTCCTCTCCCTGCCTCTTTTTTCGCTAGCGAGTTACTTTGCCATGATTTATCGGCCCCACGCCCGCCACGGAATTAGACAGAATTATAATTGGCTCGCGTAATTTATTAATGAATTTACGACGCTCGCGCCGGCCTCGGCCGCGCGTTGAGTCACGTCCGATCGCCGGACGCGGATGCAATTGATCCTAAATCACATCCAGCCCGATGCAACTCTCCGCCGCGCGCGCTCCTTCCTCGGATCGCAGCAGAATCCTCCCGGGCGTGTTTTATAGTGAGCGGGCAAAGCGATCATAATGTGTTATGAGATATATACATGTATATATATAAAATAACACACACACACACACACACACACATATATATATATACACATACACATACATACATACATATGGGAAAATGCGTGATAATTTGCACCTTTTAAAACCTCGCCGCAGATCTCTCTCTCTTCTTCGGTTATCGAGATTATTCTATTTTTACGGCAATTTCGCCTGCGATTTTCGTTATCGAGATGCATTTAAACGATACTTCTCTCTCATTCTCTTTCTCTCTGTCCATGCGCACTGGCATTGCGGATTAACGGTTAATTCAACGGCGTCCAATTTCTCAGCTCTCCGTTTTCGCGAAAATTCCCGCAGCGCGGCCACGTTCGGATTAATGTTCACTCTAATGTCGAACATTATTGCCCACGGACCACCCTAATCCCCTATAAATGAAAACGACTAATGGAGCTGTCGCAGAAGTGCTCTCACGAAACGGCCCGCGCGCGGCCGATGACTTTAAACAAATTTCCTCCTGGAAACTTATTCCGGACTTATTACCCCGTTTGGTCCCGGTGAGTGTAATAATTCAGATGCTTCCTACGCCTCGAGAACCTCAAAAGTCTCGCCATTATGCCTCCGTGTTCTTGAAAAAAAAAGTAGAGCAACAGAGAGGAAAGAAGACGCAGGCAGGAGGGAAAGAAGGAGAGAGAGAGAGAGAGAGAGAGAGAGGCAGCGAGAAAGGAGAAAAATGCTCCAACGTGATGGCGACAAAGTGTACGAGGCATCATCCCTCGCGGTCCTTTTACAACCTCGCCCTTTCTCGCCGGGCATTTTCCCGGCTCGTAGAACGCAGGCCGCCATAAAACGCTTGACGAATGCGAGCTGGTATCTCGTTTCCCTACCTTCTCCCTTCCTCTTGCCTCCTCCCTCGCCCATCACGCCATACCCCCCGCAATCTGGCTTTTTTCGCCGGTTTCCACGGCGCGCAGGTTGCAACCCCGCAACGCCCATCGTCGTCGTTACCGACGAGGGTGGAGGCGGAAGGAGGCGAGGCAGCGTCGAAAGGGACAGGGGGTGGGCGGGCGGGCGGTGAGCGAGCTATTACATTTGTAACATTTTCGCTTTTACGATTTTCCAGCTGGTTTGCATTTTAGAGCCGCTCTTACGGTCTCTCGCCCACACTCACTTGGCGCTCACGGATTTTTTTCCCTCTCCGTTTCTCGCCTCTCTCTTTCTTTCTCTCCGCACCGCCACTGGTGGATGTTGCGCTTTATGTCCTCCTTCCCCTCCCCCCCTCTCTCTCTCTGTCTCTCTTTCTCAGTATTGCCCTCGCGCGCCACGATGGTTTTATCCGCGAGTTTCCTCTCTCTTTCTCTCTCTCTCTCTCTCTCTCTCTCTCTCTCTCTCTCTCTCTCTCTCTCTCTCTCTCTCTCTCTTTCCTCTTCCGCCCTTTCTGCCCCTCTCGTCATCATCCCCGGCGTGCGCACTGCTTCTCCCGAAACCACTTGAGCGAGGCCCGCAAAGGATTCCATTTTCTCAAATAATCCGGAAAACGCGATAGAAGGATCGTAAAACGAGCAGGCAATCTCGCGTTTACGAGTTTTCGGCTGCGCCGTCGTGCAGCCGTTGATTCCGCCTGGAAGGAACTCGCTGTCGTTTCTTCCTTCGTATAGAAAAAAAATCTAGCTCCCCGCGTGCGCGGGGCGACCGGCAGAATCAATAGCGTCTTCGTTGCGAATCGACGCCGCGGTGAATCGCTGGGGGAAACAAGAGGTATGTGTTCGGTAAAAAGAGAATGGCATATAATGAGGAGACGGTATATGCGTGGAAATTAATGCGCGAGTTTAAAAGTTGCGATCTGAAAGCGCAATCGCGCTTCGGTGATATTACCCGTCGGAAATGTTAAATTAGCAAGAAATATTATACGATGAGACATTAACTGTTTTGTCACACTTGTCTGTTCTCTTCATCGCAAAATTAAATTAAGGTTAAATAGATTGATAAACTCACACAAGTGGTCATCAGTCAAGATTTAATTACTAATAATCACCAATTAAGATTTAATTACAATTAAGATTTAATCACTTATAATTATTTATATAAATTTGGGTCCATTTGTAAATATTGATAATTATAAATTTTAATATAATATTTTTAAATTTTAATATAATATTTTTGTGCGAATGTATGATTCTAAATGGTATTGAAAATTTTCCATAGTAACGTGTATACCTGCGCTTGCTTCGTTCAACTTAGAATTAACGCTACATGACGTAAGTCACGCGCAACGCTTGTCTTCGTCATAACAACAAAGGTACAAACGACGGGAAGCGCCTCGAAAATCGCGCTAACCACCACACGAGCCTCGCACAGGAGGCACAGACGGTTGCCCGAGATTTTCCGGTTCGTGTGTCGAACCCTGATGTCGCCGGCACTTTGGACGTGTCACTCGGTCATTACGGGTCCATTAGCCGTGTCGAGTGACGAGGCTCGCGTTACCTTCGCTGTGCGAACGAGAGCCGAAAGGACCGCTCGTAAAACCCGACGATGGAGTAACACCGGTACTTGAGGCCGAAGCACTCGAGAAACCCGTGAGAGAGCGGATGAAGGAGTATTTTTGCGTATCAGATGGGAAATGTGATACGATTCCACAACGTGTCGTCCTGGCATGTGTGTGCGTTTGTGTGTATGTGTGAATATATTTTTATCAATTTTTTGCGAAGCCTCCTCTCGCTCGCATCTCGCTTCGTCCCACGATGGGAACTCGCCGATGCGACGAACACGTGGAATGTATTTTTATATGTATGTTTATATATTTCTCTCACTTTGTCAATTCGTTAATAGCTATGAACGCCACGACAGCAACGTTGTTCTGCACTCGACGCTTCGATAGAAAAAGATAAGAGAGAGAGAGAGAGAGAGAGAGAGAAAGAAAAAGGAGAAATTAAGGAAAACACGCGACACGCTTTTACGCCACCACCCACTGTGAAGTGAATTTGTGTGTTTTCGTAGAAAAAGGAACGCAACTCGAGCCGTGGGACGTAGCATACCCTAAATACGACCACATGTCGAAACTACTGGAGCCTGTTGTCGCTAATTCCAGTAATTAACCCAGTATTCATCTCGTCGCGTCTATTTTCGGAGCTAGTCGATCCATCATAAAGACAACGCGCCGGGCTCGAAACGATATATTCCTCAGGAAAATTTAACTGAAGCGTTCGATTTGATCGAGCAAGCACAACGTGCGTCTTCGTAAGCTCCAATTCGCTTGCGAGAAGCGCGCCTTACTGAAACTTTCAAATTAAGACACTCGGCTTCAACGTCCGTCCTCTGTGCTCTTCGACGTCTCTTCTTTCTCCGAGTCCGTTGTGTCTCTGAAGAAATTCGAGGTCAATCGTTGCTTGGCTCTTTACATTAACTTAACTTAGCTTAATTTAGCGCTTAAAATCTGCCGAATTACTTGTTCTCTACTTCCCTCTGCGATGTGGCGGACTTCACCTCGCTTTCTAACTTGCTACGTTTCTTTTCTTTGGCCGCGGCCACCCGATTGCGCATCTCTTCGTACCTCCTTCTGAGCAAATCGACGTATTCTATGGGAGAAGTGACCGTGCTCAGGGCGCTCCTTCTGATCTGTTCCGCTCTAGCACGGACGGCCTGATGTCTCCTCAGGTTGCCCAAATGACCGGATAGCATGCTGCTCCTTAGCAGGGCAGGTCGAGAGACCGGTCGCTTGGCATGCAAGTAGTGCCCTTTGGGCTCCGAGGGCCGCCGTTTCCTCATGAACGGGATTTCCCAGAATGTCTGATCGATCCCGAAGAGCTCACCGTCCTGAATACAAAGGAGTAACGATGATGCCAACGAAAGCGCTGGGGTTCTTTTAGCGAGAATTGTATCGATCGTCTGAAAGACACCGCGCTATCGAGAAAGAAAATTGTTATCGCCAATTATTATTTATATGTGATTAACAATTAACAGTAATTAACGGTTATAAATATATGGAAAAGTGGGAAGAAAATTAAGTCTGTGTGGACAAGACAAATTTTCTTGCATAAACTGCAGTAAAGTTAAATCATGTAAAAATCGAGTTCGATCAACAGCCTCACGAAGAAATCTGAATCACAAAATTTGGTCGACAGTAAAAAAATCACACAAAATTGAGACATATATGATATGAATATTTTCTAAACTATCAAAAAATTAATTAATTAATTAGTTAGCTGTGTATATAACCCTGAGAATAATTTTCTTTAATTCGACTTAATTTGTATCAATCGAATTCCTCTTTCTCTCAGCATATTAATCGCTTTACAGCACAATAATTTTTAATAGCATAAAAATAGTTAAACCCTTAGAAGCTGTTTGCTTAGCGATCTCCATAATCGCCAATATGGAAATTTTAAATAAACGCTTACATAGTATATTGTAATTAGAAGGAACAAAAGGCAGGAAACAAATAAACGTAGAGCCCGCTGATAGCTAATTCGGTCTCCGAAGATTAAAAAGACGTTTCGAAAATACGGATTTTATCGTCGAGTACCAGCAAGTTTTGCGGCAGCTCTTCCTTCAGCGTCTCCGGCAGGAACAAGCAGAGAAAACCGGCGAAAACGCACGCTATCCCCAAGATGATCATGGGTAGATTGTACTGTATCTTGCTGGAGAAGGCCACGAAGGGACTCACGATGGCGGCCACGTGGCCCATGATGTGGATGAACGCCACACCCTCGCACCGCACAACCGTCGGCAACAACTCCGCCGCGAACTGCAGGCCGATGTTGGATGCGACGTTGATGAAGAATCGACTGACCATGGCCAGCGAAGCGTAAGCGACACCGAGCGGCACGCTGGCGGTGACGAAGCTGAAGACGCCCGAAAGGGTCACGGCGACGAACAGGCTCCATCTTCGGCCGCAGACGTCGAGGAAGAAGATTATCAGAAGTTCCGCCGGGAATTCCGTGGAAGAGGCGATGGTGAACGTCGTGAAGACGTCCATACCTAGGCTGTCCAGGCACCTAATGTGGCCGTCGTAAGCCATTGAAATCACGCTCCAGGATATCATCAGCAGAAGAGTCATTCTTCTGGATCACAGAGAACGTTCTGCTTTAGTTTCTCTTTTGTTTCTACTTTTTTTTCTTTTCCGTCCAGTTGGATGGCGTAGGGGCGATTTACCGCAATCTTTTGGTCCTGAAGAGCGCAGCGATGCTGTAGTCCTCCACGGCCAAGGTCTCGGCGGTTTCTACACAATCGTCCAGGAAATTCTCGTAAATATCTCGCGGTATGTTTGTGCGATTGATCTTCTCGATCTTCATCATAATTCTCACCGCCTTCTCGATTTTGCCCTTGCTGATGAGCCACCTTGTTAAACGGATACGAGCGCGCAATTAACTATCGCGCATCGATACGGCGCGAAAGAAGTTCCCTTCGTGATCACTCATAAACAGCGACGCGACGCTACTAAGAAACCCGTTCCAAACCTATCATTTGTATATTTTTCACTTCTCCCCCGACTTTTTAGTCTCTCACCTGACGCTTTCCGGGATAATAAACGGCGTGACGATCACGGACGCTAACGGCACCGAGGTCACCAAAGCGAAGGTCCTCCAGTCTGAAATGCTATGAGCAATCCAAGGCAGGCACATTGCCGCCAAGGAGTAAAATATCCCGTACGACATATTCGCCGCGAACGTCCGCCATTTAGGCCCGACGTACTCCAACACGAGGATATAAGCGACCACGAACACGTTGTCGTAGGCGATGCCGACGATGAATCTGCAAAGGCAGAACTGCCAAAAGGAGCTGGCGTATATCGTGCTGACGCCGCCGATGAATCCAATCATATTCGTACCGATTAGCACCGGGATGCGACCGTGTTTGTCGGACAACCAGCCAAAGATGAAGCCGCCGCAAATGGAGCCGATGAAGAAGATACTCACAGCCAATGTTGTCTTATAGGCTGCGTCGCACACCTGAAGGGAGAAACACGTTAACACGTGGGCGGTTGATCGAATTGTATGATACCAAGGCTCGAACGACGATTTTATCGCTAAAGATGCGGTAAATAAGTCTAATTCGAAATGCACATATTTTCTTTATCAGGAAAACCCATAATTAATCATACGAGTATTGGGTGAGTGCAAAAGTTTTTATGGCTCTCTCAAAGATGTGACTGATACGGTGAAAATAAAAAAATACTTAGGTACATGCAGATATATAATGTACGTACATACCGTCGGAAAGGTCATATTTTTAGCGATTACTTGGTGGAATGAGAATAATTTTTTTTTAATAAAATTACTTAGTCCGCATATTTTTCTGTCACATGATCCATCAAGACTTTTGCATTCGTCCAATATTTCCAGCATTCCTATCCTCATCAAGTTCCACTTGAATTTGTAGTACATAAACAGTCTTTTTCCGGCGTGAGTAATATTTATGTGTGACTAAAGTACTCATCATTTTAATAATTAAAAAATTAATACAAGGGTTAAAATAGATATTGAAGCTTTTTCCTTAAATTTTCAAACGTATTTCATTTTGAGATACTCAGATGTATTTCGATAAATTAGTGTCTGAGAAAATCTCATCATTGGAGAAAATATTTTATCAACTGGTAAAGAAGAAAAACATCGAGTCTGTCGCTAAGAATATTTCTTTTCTCACCCATCCCTGCTCCGTCGCTATGGAGGCGTAAGGGACATCGGTGCGACTGAACTTAAATTCCCATTCGTCGCACTTTCTCATGGGCCAATCCTCGCCAGGTTGATCGGCCAGGATGATTTTGTCGACGGGCACGTCGTAGATCCAACACCTCGAATAAGGCAACTGATGTCCTTCGTAAGGCACTACTTTGGAGCTGGGTATCAACAGTTTCTTCAGCCTATCCGAGCTTATTTCCTCGACATGCGGGAGCTTGCACCAGTACTCCGTAGGCACCACTGTGATGAACAGTTGAACAAAGTAAACGAAGACCAGGAAGCAGCTGAAGAACATCAGCATCGTGAAGAGAATTTTCTGATAAGTCCCAAACTCGCCTGATGAGGGAAAACGGAAACGCACGTAACGAAAATGCTCCAAGATCCAGAAAGAAAAGTAAGTAAGTAGCGAAAAGTCGAAGAGAAATGACGTTTTCATATTATGCCATTCCATTACCTAGATAAACTAATATGTCGTCAAAGGTGGTAACTTCGATAATTGAGACAATGGGACTCGAGGTAGTCGGTAACATAATGCCGCACTGCGCCGTAAACTATCAATAACTATATTTCGAGACGTTCATTCGAGATAACCTAATCCTTATTAACGAGCTGCGCCACGAAGCGATCTCGCGTCAGACGCGACGTTATCTTCACATCAGAGCCGCATCATTATGCGACTCCTCGATCACTCGATATCAACCGACACAAACGAGGCTCATCATACTTGCCATCATAATTGCCAGTTAGAACGCGTTCGGGGTATTCGAAAAAAAACTTCATCTCCCAGAAATCACCGAGGGAAACAAATTCGACCGCGAATACGTTGCGAGATTCATCGAGAAGCAAGAAAGTGCGGCGACCTTCCTCCCACCGAATGTCGAGTGATATTAATTAGACGAACAATTAGTCAGCGGGCAGGAGAAAAAGATTGGCGCGAAGGAAAAGAGATTCGAGAAAGAAAACCGCGCGCGCGCGAGAGAGAGAGAGAGAGAGAGAGAGAGAAAGAGAGAGAGAGAGAAGCACGTTAACACGTTTTCTCTCTTACGTAAGAATTCTTCCCTCATCCCCGGTCGACAGGGTCGAGCGCACCCCACTTTGACCTTCTCCCCGCGGTAAAGGAGGTTCCGGGGATCATCAACGTCCGGGCGTGGAGGCGGGCCAATCAGAGCCGCCGTTTAGCTAATGCGTGTAACGTAGCCCAGGGGACGATTCGACGTGGTGGTAGTGCGCTCGTAACTCCGCCGGGATGGTGCGATACCTTACACACAGACACGCTCACACAGCCCGGCACCCCCACGAGCCACCCCATTTCGCCGGTCTCATCCAGCCGGGAGGCGATAGTCAGGAGGCGGGCTTGGGCTTCTCTCCCCCCTACGATTTCCAATTTGCAGGGACGAGTAATCCGGCGATTTACATAACTCCATGGTAACCGTGTCAGGCTCCTTGCCGCGACCCGAGCTTTAGCGTGCTCCCAGCGAAAGGGTAGCGGGTGGGCAACATGCTTCGCGGGAGATCGATCGCGGACGCGATAAGGTTGTTTAGGGCTCGTCCTGGTGTGTGCCGCAGGCGGTGGATCTTAATTAATGACGCGCATCAAGAGGCACGCAATGATGCATTTTCCATTAGGCGGCTTTGCTCAGCGCGCGTGGGTGGTTTTATCGTTTAAGTTCACGGAGGGAAATTTTTCCACCGAGGGAAAGAGCGAGAGAGGAAGAGGGGGTGGGATGAAGCTCTCGTGAAGGGCGAATTAAACGTCAGAATAACTCGTTCAGATATTTATCCGTTATTTGCTGACTAGAGCGAGACGGCAGCAGCAGGTATTCGTTGTGTTAATTAAAATCTCGGCACACACGGCTTCTATTTAATCGTCACACTCGGTACGTAGGGGTATAAGACACTTTTTTGGACGTTCAATTACTCGGCTCCGACGTGGTTAACTGCACGTCGGTCGAAGGTGCTGTAATTCGCGCCAAGTTTCCCCGTTTTTCGGATCGATCCGGCAACGAATCAGGGCGCAGTTAGCTAATGCTTGCGGGCTTGCGCTGGCACAGCCCCCAAGGGGGTGGCTCGAACTCCGCCGCCGCAGCCGCGGCGTAGTTAGGGATGAAACGCGGACCGCGGTAACGATCCGAAAAAGCGTCATCCACCTTCCGTCCACGAGGACGGAATCCTCGCGGTGATATATGAGGTAACTTCGAATACCGAGCGTGAACGCGCGTCACGCGGCCATTATCATTAGTATCGTCGAGAGTTATTCTTCTGACTTCTATCGCAGAATTATCGCGGATAATTCTTGCCTTCTCGCAGGATTCGCTCGCCGCTACTTTTTTTTTTGTTGGAGGAACGACAATCGCGACGATGTTCATCCGCGCGTCCGCTCTCGTCGATGCCTCGCCGATACACACCACTCGATTGTTTAACTCATCGTTTCCCGGCCGTTCTGGAAATCCCTTCCCCCTCCCCCCTCTCCCTCCCCCTCCGACGTAACGTAATACTGTCTCATTCATTCGAATTACGTTTCTCCGCGCGTCGATGGTGCGCTGCGCCGCGCGATGTTGGGGTAATTAATTACTTAAAATTCAATTAATCCCCCCGCCTCCCCGCCGCCCCATCGGCGGCGAGACGGCTTCTCTCCGTCGCGGGCGACGTAGAAAGAGAAAAAGAGAAAAAAGAGGACCGCGCTTCCTCTCCCGCGGCCGCCGCTTTTGTCCGCCGCTTAATGGCGGCGGTTCTTCTATTTTGCCGGATCTAATTTCCGTCCCGCCGTGGCTTCTGCCGCAATTAATTCGCCCGGAATCCAATTAATTCGCCGGACGGCCAATGAACTAACGTTGTTTGTCGAAGAAGACGTTCGCGTCGCCATTCCGCGCGGCGGCGCGAACCGACCCGATCCGTCGACGGCCCGCGAGGCCAGAGGTTGAGAGTGCGGCGGAGAGGGGAGATAAAATTACATTATCGCCTAAAGCACCCTCGACGAAGGGCGCGAGCGTCGAAGTGGGGGCCGGGGGGTGGCGGCAGAAAAGCGGGGCGAAAATCACGTCCCGTAATTCCCGGGCATTAAGGTAAACGTCCAACTCGCAGGGCGCAGGTTCGGTCGCCATGGCGACCACAGGGTGCTTTCCACCACCACCATCACCACCACTTCCACCACCACCACCACCACCACCACCACCATCACCACCACCGGTCTCTTTCAATCGATAACTTATGAAACCGTCGTACATACCTCCCCGCTTCACCCTGCCATCTCTGGCAACCCCTCTGGCCGGATGCGCGACTCGGCTTCCTGTCATGGCGACACTTTGGGTGTCTGTGTCTGTGTGTGTGTGTGGATGTGTATGCAGGGGAACGGAAAAAATCCCTACAATAAGGACGTTTCCGTTGCGCGGGACAACGACGCTTACTTGCTCCGCATTCGCCCTGCAACTTCCGACGGCGTTATCTTGCGCATATCTTGAGTTTAAGCGTCGTTGCTTTGGCCGAAGTTGGTTTTACACGTCACTTGCGGTTTTCAGTCGCGTTGTTAGGGAGTAACTTATAACTTGATACGTTCAAATGCGTTAGGTGATGTGACGTGGCAAGAGCTTCAGTTATGAGCTTAGATGCTCAATTTTTAGGTTATACGTGTAAACACGACGCACTTGGATTTGCAGTACGTACGCTAGGTTTCAAGGAGGTTCAAACAGTTCATTCTCGATATAGTTCAATGCTCAAGGCTGATGTTCAAGCTTATCTTCTGGGAGTTTATTCAAACACAAGTTTCCCTATTAGACATCATTGGACTGCGTTTTGAAGCTGCGTCGAGGAGAACGGTCTGTTCTTTTTGAAGCAGCATTGCAAATCCGAGCGTGTTTTTTTCATAGGCATGTAGTTGGCTGAAGCTTTCTTCACACGTTCCTTGCCGCCTTAAATCGCGTTACTTAGTACGCTTGACGTGCTAAATTTCCGCGGCGCCGAGCATTTCCGTGTTCTGTGCAATTTTAAGCCCTTATTGGACGATACAAAGAAAAATATTCTTTCTCTATTCCTGAAAAGCAGTAACACTCAGTTTACTTTTCTCATTTTAAGCAATAATTATTTTCACCACAAAGAACATTTTCTTAATAATAGTCTCTTCAATTGCACTCGTCACAAGCTTTAGAACAGCTCATTTTCGTGCTCACAGAAGATAAGGATTCTTTTCTCTCATCCTTTTTCTCTTTTAAGAACATTATAAAATTTATACTCTACGGAGAAAGCAAATGAAGTTTTTGATTTAATCTTCTCGTTTTAATGAAATATTTTTGATTGAAGCACTAAACTTTCTAAGACACATAATTTTTCGAGTAAATTTTATGCTTATATACGATGAACTTATAGTAATTAAAAAGATTTGCGAGTATATAAAATTATGAGGTATATAAAATATGACGCTCGAAACAAATACACTGAGAAAAAGACTTCTGTTGTCACAACAAATGAATGTTTGCTGTTTGATAATTCCGGGGTAAGATCCGGGAAACAAATCAAACAGTTACCGCGGCAGATCATTTTGTCGTTATTTGTGATTTTATTAACAAATATACATTGCTGGAGATGCAACACATTTTTTCCCACTATAAAATTGTTGGTTAGGGCAAGAAATCATAAGTAACAAATCATTTGTTACCACAACGGAGTCCCACATTAACAAACCATTCGTTGCGGTAACTGGTGTTTTGTTACTACCAACAAAACCTTCTTTCTCAGTGTAACATTGTCTCGCAGGCAGCGCGTATATTTTTGCATGCAGCGACGTTGTCGTCAACGAAATAAAGTTGCAGCTGCAGAAAATAAGTACACCGCTGCCTAATTTCCGCAAGCGCGAGCGGCGAACCGATGAATGGCCGTCGCCCCTCGGAGTCGACGATAACAAGGTAGGATCGAAGATAGGATGTAGAGAGTTAGTGCTTGCGAAAATCATGAATTGCGACGGAATCAAACCGAAAACGAGCGACACGTTTTGTCTCGAGGCGCTGCGAGAAACAGGAAACCTCCCCTCGCGCTTCCGCGCGGGCCGAACAATTGCACGCGTCGTGCGCGCCGGTAAATCCAAAATCCGCGTAATGTAATTCGCAATTGCGGGCGGCGGGCCGCGAGCGAGCGGAACTTGTTTATTCTTCATGACATACGATCGCCGACATTAACTGCGAGCGCTTTAACCGCCTGCCCACCATTTGTCGGCCGGTAATGCGCGCGATCGATTAATTAAATCCGGCCAACCGGCGGCGGTGTCGCGCGTCGATTCATCCCCTAAACGGTCGGCCAATCGGAGCGAGCTCGCGCCGAGGGGATCGCAACGAGATTCTTCGCGGGTGCCCCGGTTTCACAGGGCGGCGGGGGAGGGGGGGGGCGAGAAAAAGTAGGAGTGGAGAACGACGAGAGGATACGATTATCGCGCGGCTGGGTGATCGCGCCAAATTGGGATCCTTCGGCAAACGACAGCGGACGATGACGCGGCTTCGCGGAATGGCTCCACCACGCCGACGATTTTATCGCGCGGAAAACTGCC